GGATCTCTGTCAAGTAGTAAACAGTCAAAACGCTCATTGCCGTCTCGCCGCTGATGCTCTCAATTGCCTGTCAAAACACTTGGATGTTATGTAGGAGTGTCCTGACCGCGATAGACACGCTGACAAACAAAATCACTCTACTTGTCAATTTAATCTATCTCTTCAAAGGTCCTCTGCAGTGGAGATTTAGCCTTAGGTTTTGGTTTGTTTTGTGTAATGATGTATTTCCTGTTGTAAAATAAGCTGTCTAACCTGCAGGTAGTCAGTTCTGGCTCGGTTACCAACAGGTCTCAATGATTAAATAACCACACAACTGGCAGATTTGTTACATGCACCACCATTCAAAAGTGTTTTTTTTTTGTTTTGTTTTTTTTGTTTTTGAAAGTCGCTTATGCACACAAAGGTTGCATTTATTTGTAAATACTAATAAATACTGTGGAAAAATACGGTAATATTGTAAAATATAATTACAACTTAAAATAACTGCTTTCTATTTTAATATATTTTATAATGTAATTTATTCCTGTAATGGCAAAGCTGAATTTTCAGCAGCAATTACTCTAGTTTTCAGTGTCACACGATTCTTCAGAAATCATTCTAATATGCTGATTTTGTTGCTCAGTTGCACAGTTGTGCTGCTTAACATTTTTGTGGAAACAGTGATACTTTCTCTTAAGATTCTTAAATGAATAGAAACTTAAAAAGAACATAATTTATTTGAAATGGAACTCTTAATCTAATATTACATATATACACCTTGGAAAAACTTTGGGAAAGTTGTACCTCTAGAGCACTGCCACTGCAGATAGATTCAAATGGATGTCTTTGGGGGGGTCATGTGAACATGAATACTGTCTCTCTCACACACACACACACACACACACACACCCTTGCTGCAGTCCTTTAGGATATTACATGACATTTGTGCAGTTCACTACTTTGACCAATAAATGCACACTCTTCAAGAAGTTGCATCTCTCAACTACTGTATGTGAATATTGAATTCCTTTCACTGTTAAATTTGCTAGTCAACTTTACTAATTGAGTAGTAGGTTGTTGGATGCCTGTTTAACCACCCTGGCCAATCCTTGGTTCTCATTGAATGAGCAATCATTTTTGCCTAACAGTAAAAGTAGAGATAAACCGATCTTTTTTTAATATTTGCATTTTTCTATTTATTTGGTTTGTGTTTGTGTGCTTTAATATTGGGTTTACTGATAAAACTTGGTGGGTCTCTAAAGAATAGCACTCAACAACACCATTACAACACAGTGTGTTCAACAGGAAACAGTGGTGTTCACAGGTAAAGTAACGCATTGTTTACATAAATACTTAGCAACATGCAACTTGAGCAGTGTTTGATAGGCTGCAAAAAACAGAAGAAAATAAATTTGTGACCATTTAGATCTAAACTTCTGAATGTAATAATAAAAAATTATAGGTAATCATAATTACTATATGATACTAACAAAAAAATCATATTAAATAGGAATATTTCATTATTTTTATTATTATGCAATACTAACAAAACTTATTAGTATATGATACAAAAAATAACAAAATAAAATAAATTATTAATCATGTTCATTAGGAATATTTTATTATTATTATTATTATTTAGAAGTATTATTTAGTATTAATAAAATATTCACATTGGATATTAAGCTATTATTATTCTAAACATTTGTTAGTGTCGTGTCAAAAAGCAGAAATGAAACGATAATCCTTTTTTTTTTTTTCTTAGTGTGACCTCCATCTACTCCACTGAATATGTCACCTTCAAGACACACTTTGCTTCTTTCCATGTACAAATCTCTATTCTCTTCCTCTGCCTCTCACACACACACATTCGCTCTATCT